GCCCACATATAGGACTGCAGGGAGTGCACTTGGAAACCACACTTAGCCTGGCGAATGAGGCAGCAGAGCAAAAGCTGAGGAAAATTGCTTCTGATTGACAGAAGAAACAGGTAAAGAAAAAATATGCCAGATGTCATCTTCAGAGTTTTTCGTTTGTCTTAGGTAAATCGCTCCCTTTCCAGCTCCCTAGAGATGTTTGTGTAGAAGCAGCTAAGAGTGACTGACAATCAGATATGTTGGCAGAGAAATCCTTATTGGAGGCAGGGAAGAGGAGGGCTGCAGTGGTTTTTTTTTTTACATGTATATATTTGCTTCCTGCATTCACTCAAGGAGAATACTTACTACCCAGTAATAAGCTCTTGCAGGGCAATCTACATGTTATAGAAAGGTCTTTTACACATTTGGGGCAACAGAGATGTGTCTTAGGGTGCTGTAGTTGTGGACAAGGTGTGAGCTAAGGGCAAAATACACATGAGGTCCAGTAAGTACTTGGGACAAGAGAATTTCTGTGACTAAATGAGATGGCTCAGATGCAGTAAAGCTTAGCTCTTGCAGCAACTTCTTGCAAGGTCTTGCCTAAAAACTTGAAGTTTCGTGTAGCGGTTATTTGTGTGATTCTACCAGCTGCCTTGGTCTAAAAGAAATGTTTGATTCAGATCTCTTAAGCTGTTGAAAAACATAAAAGAGTAGATTTAGGCACTAAGTTTTGTATTGAGTTTTCCATTTTCTTTTCTCCACCTCTCCCTTAATTTTGGGAAGCAATTAGTATTTTGGTCTATTTTCCTGAAGAATTGGTTGCTCATGCGATCTCTCTGTCTTCTGGATGACTCGAGGGCCTGCTGGAGCCCTCGAGCATAGACTGCTCAGAGTTACGAAGTTTCTGGGCTTTTATGCAACCTAGTACCTGACTAAAGAAGGACCCACACGGTGCCCAACCTGGGAAGAGAACTGTGAGGAGTAGCTGGATGGTGTCAGCAACTGTAATTCCTACATGTGCTGGCATTTGCTTCCAAAAAGAGGGTGAAAATGGTGGGGAGCTGGTGTCCATGGGAGCGAGAGTGGAGCTTAGGACGTATGGTATCCACATCTTGTATGGCTTCCCCATTTCCCCTGCGCAGGGTGTATCTTGCTCTTCATTCTGTGTCCTTTGCTGCCTTTTTTAGTTTGTTTGTTTATATCATCTATCAGTTTTATCATTCTGTGCTCATGCACATAAAATCTTTATTAGCCATGCGTATTCTCTATTCTCTGTTTTAATTTTCCTTCCTTCTCTCTTTGTTAACAAACTCTGCTGATGGCAGATGTTTCCCATTTGACAGTGCCTGAGACTAAGGTTTTCCAGCCACGCAACCCGCTGAGTGCTGGCTTCTTCCTCCGGCTGCCCCGCTGTGCGGGGTGGGACCATCCCCTGCTAGAAGCAGGGAATGAACCTGCCCTCCCAGCCAAACCTGGGGTCACAGTTCTCCTGGAGATCAGTAGCCCAGCAGAAAAACAGAAGTTGGGCCATGATCTTAGGTATAAACAGGGGTGTCCAGGGTCCACATCCTTGTGCTTATTTGGTCTCTTTGAAGAAACTGGCCAAAGAAGAGGTGAATCAGGGTCAGTGCTGAGATTGAGAAGGTTCTTCGTGCTCTGTGTCCCACTTCATCAGCTCTCAGAAGCCTTTTAATGGTTGTGAGATGTTGGCCACCTCTGCTTCCCACTAACTTGGCTTGACTTGGCTCCTGTGCTGACGACAACATCAAAGAATGTATTTCCTCACTAGTTTGGAGGGTTAGTGCACTCACCCATGATGTAAGTGAAAATTGGGTAAAGGGAATTCCAGGTGCTTTGCACCAGTTTTTTTCCTAGTCAAAATGCTGTACTGACACCTTCTACAAAAGGACCCAGTTTGCTCCTCTGGTTTTAATGATAGGTCCATTCCTTTAAACGTACCTGGAACAGCAAGGGACTGTGCAATTGCATAGACGCGTATCCGCGTTGCAGCTGGCCACTGTGAGCATCCTTTCCTTTTGTGGCATCCTTCCTTTGTGAGAAGAATGTTTCTGCACCAACATCCTTCCTAACAAATCCTTCCCTCGGGAGTCGTCTGAGAGATTATTCTGCTTTGGTCAGTTGGAGTGAATAAATCATCTTCTGGCCCAAGCCTTTTATGATCCTTTAATCTTAACACTTTTTCCAGCGTATCAGTTTAAGGGACACCAGTAAAGCCTTCGCACTGTCCATGTGGGAATGGCATAACCTCTGATTTGTGTCCTCTCTCCTTCATACTTCAGAAACCCTCTGTATTTTCTCAGCCCTGTTTTTCAGCAGGGACGAGTTTCTTTTCAGGAGCTGGTGTTATCTGGTGTTTGAGCTTCAGTGGCTATGAAAGTGTAAACCAGCCCTCTTCCATGGCGATAAATATTTAAATCAGGAATCAGGAAACAAAACTCTGGGACATTGTTCACTGGTTCCCTGTTCTTCACTGGTTCCCAGTTTGTCGTTTTGCTGCTTGGTCTACATAATGCCTGTGTAAATAAATAGAGGATTTTTTGGCCAGTGTCCCATCGTTACTCCACAAAAAGGGTAGCGCCAGGGAAGTTAATAGCAGGGATGCAGAGTGCACAGAAAACAGTAAAAAGATGCTCAGCCAATGTGCCTGTGGCCTTTCTGAAAGGCATGGGGTTTGCAAATCAGATCCCAAAGCACTTCCCATGGGAGAAACTACCCAGACGTTCATAAGTGGACAGTAAGGCTGGGGTCACCAGTGGAGGTGAGCAGCTGGGTAAGAGCTACCATCAAGGGCACGGGCAAGTGAACAGAAGAGTCAGGTAGAGGAAAGTCCTAGAGGGAAGACCAAGTTGCTTGTGCTTGCTAAGATGAGGAAGAGGAGGTAGCTGAGAAAAACCTTGTTGTTCATGCCAGAGCAGCCTTTCTGTTTGCTGGCTGCTCGTTCCTTGTACTGCCAAGGTGCGCTTTCCTTCTTTGTGCCTGGTTCTTCCTCCTGAAAAGCTGCTTTCAGCGTCAGGCAACATCATGGTTTATTACAGTGTCATTTTCAGGTTAACACCAGCAACGCAAAAGCAGGAGATGTCTGTGTCGTGTCTCATTTACTCAGTTGCAGAGTGGTTCAGGGGCATCTTCTACTCGTGCTGATCATCTTTAAACCGTAGATTGGGCTGGAAACGCGTCACTTATTTCTTAGCATTGCAGCCACTGTAGTAGTGAAGATGGGGACACGTCCTGAAGGATACGTCAGTGAAAGCCTCCACAAATCACAAGATCTCATTCTACTGCTCTATGTAATTAGTGATTAAAATGAGTAAAAACAAAGCAGCAATTTTCTTATTGATCCCTCAGCAAATAGTTCTGTCTATTTTCTTCTGTATTGTTTCTTCTTATTAAATAGCCTTGAATAAGAAATGTCAGTCAAATGAATTTAGATTCCTGGTGCTTCAGACAGAAATCAAAGCAGGATTGAATGAGGAAAGATAATTAGCGAGAGGAATTCCACCTCCACAGACTTCTTCCCTAGCTCAAGGAATGCTGATTTTATCTAAATTGCCAAAGCCGTGAGCAAATGAGAGGTGATGGGAATTATAGACTGCAGACGCTGAGACAAAGCAAAGGAAGCTTTAATTAGTGCATTTTAAGGTAGAAATGAATTCCCTGGGAATAAATTATTTGACTCAAGACATATAGAGCTTCTTAGAGGTGAACTGAAAGGCCTTTTTACCTGCCAGAACCAGGGCTCACAGGTTGCATCTGTCTTGTACAAATGAGTGACATGTCACTGGGGTCTGAAACACACAGGGATGAATCCTCCTTTCCTTTGCATCTCTCTTCCTTTTTTTTTTCTGTAATATGGAGGAATTCCCATTGCTGCAGATTCCCAGCAGTGCAACAGAAAGCAGATTTTTTCCCAATGCCCAGAGTTACTAGTTCAGGTGTTAGTGGTGGATGTACTGATGCTGAGGATTTGGGAGTTATGTACTGAACCTACAGGTACTGAAGGGAGTTATTTTCCTTTTACATTCTCCTCTTACTCTCCTTTCTTAGCTCTGTTGTCATCCTTTCATCATGCTTGCCTGCGTGTAAGGGCGCTGGGAACCTTAAAACACTGACCTTTCTGTTTTTCAGCAGATTGCCACAGCTTTTCAAAGGGTAAGACAGTGACAACTCTCTCCTATTTGGAGGTAGATAGAGATTCCTGTTTGAATTGATGGAGCTGAAACGAAACCATTTAGCTGGGTGCTTTAATCCAGAACTCCCTGACTTCAGCAGAACTATTCAGGCTTTTAATTATTTACATACTCTCTGTGAGGCAGTTGCTCACAAACCTTGTTGAAACAGGCAGGAGTGGGGCCAGGAGCAGACCTGATGTTTGTGTTACAGGACTGCTTACAGAGCCCTGATGGAGGTGCTGCCCAAACGCAGACTACGATGGGTTTGCCCCTCCAAGAACAGGACTATCCTCCTTGGCTCTGAAATGCAGGAGCAAAAGCCCATCAAGAGGCTGGAGGATGGACGGGCCACTCCAGCAGCACCTTCCCGACAGCTCGGGGTTTGCTGGCAGTGAGGTCTGCATGAGTTCTGAGTGTGACCTGGAAAATCACCCTCCACTCCCTTCCTGGGGGGAACCACTACGTGCAATCTCCCAAAAATCCTGCTCTGCTGCCAGGAAAACGTAAGATACCAACAGATGAGTAGAGCAGAAGTACAGCCTGGTGGCTTCAGCTCCCTCTTTTTGATGAAGGGGGCTGAAGTCTGACAAAAGCTAAAAAACCCCACACCCTCTCTGGGAAAACAAGTATCCTGCTCGCTGTTTTTTTCCTAATGTTCTAGTTGCCTATTTCAGATATTGCTGTTTTGTCCTGTAGGTTAATTTGTATGACCTGAGATGAATGAATGCAGTCAAGAGGTGTTGAATGCTGATGTGTTTATCTTATGGCAAGATAGAAATGTTGCAAACTTGCGAGCTACGGGAGGAAATGGGCTAATTTTAGATTTGTTCCTAGCCCTCGCCATGCGAATGGTGTCGCTGCGAGCCCAGCAATGAAGTTCACTGTGTTGTAGCAGACTGCGCAGTTCCCGAGTGTGTCAACCCAGTCTATGAACCAGAACAGTGTTGTCCTGTCTGCAAAAATGGTAAGAAAGTACTGTATTGGCTTTAACAAAGAGATATAAAGGAAACATTTTATGAAAGTGTTGTTACCCATGCATGGCCAGGAGGTTTGCTTCCATCGGCACAGGCTGGCATTGGGGCTGTTACTTCTCCTTGCTTGTGGGCTTCAGTTGTGAGGTGGCAGCTGTGAGAATTAAGGCTGCCCTTCCTGGACTGTGTCTTCACGTGGAAGTTATGGGATTGCTGACTTGACTAAGGCTTTAGAGGACTGAGTCCTGATATCGATGATAGCTGTTTCATGTCTTTGCTTTTTTCTCATAATCAGTCTAACATGAAATCAAGTATATAAGAAAAGAGAGAGTCTTTGTCCCTAAATTAAGAAGCTGATGGTTGTTACTAAAGACCAGGGGAAAACTCACCCAAATCAAAGGCAAAACTTCCACTGGGGCCAGTAAGACACCCACCAAGCCTGAAACGTCATCAGTTGTGTGCTGGAGTCTGTGTGTGTAGTTTTGACCCTCATTGTCCTGCTGA